CTAGTTGAAGTTTTTTTTATTAACTTTTTTTTTTTTTTTTTTTTTTTTTTTTGGTACTGGGGATTGAACCAGTGCGGGAACCACTGAGCTAAATCCCTGGCCCTGTATGGCATTTCTAATTTCAGTTTTTTGAGAAATCTCCATATTGATTTCCATAATGGTTCTATTGTATACATTCCCACCAACAATGAAGGAGGGTCCTTTTTCACCACAGCCTTGCTGATATTTGTTATTGTGTTTTTTATTTTTTGGGGGGGTACTGGAAGATACTTGGTGAAGGGATTGATGTGTTTTATGGAATTTCTTTTCTTTTTTTTTTGGCTGGGATAGAACTTGGGACCTTGTGCTTGCCAGGCAGATGGTTGGGACCACTGAGCTAAATCCCTGGCCGATTGTTTCATTTCATAATAATTGCTATTCTTGGGCTGGAGATTTAGTTCAGTGGTTTGGTGCCTGTCTCACAAGCACAAGGACCCGAGTTCGATCCCTGGTACCAAAAAAACAAAACACAAAAAAATTGCTATTCTTTCTGGAGTAAGATGGAATCTTAACATTGTTTTAATTTGCATTTCTCTAATGGCCAGAGATGTTGACCATTTTTTCATATATTAACTATTTGTATTTCTTCTTCTGTGAAGTATCTGTTCATTTCTCTTGCCCATTTCTTGACTGGATCTTTAATTTTAGGTGGTTTAATCTTTTTGAATTCTTTGTAATTTCTAGATATTAGTTTGCTGTCTGAGGAATATCTAGCAGAATTTTTCACATTCTACCTTTATGGATTGACTAAAAAGTTGTACAGAAGCTTTTTGGTCTGATACAATCCTGTTTGTTGATTCTTTTGACAAAACCCTTTGCAATACCTATGTTGTCAAATGTTTTATCTATTTTATCTTCTAGTAGGTTTAATGTTTCTGTTTTAATGTTTAGATCTTTCATCTGTTTTGATTTAATTTAGTGTATGATGAGCGATAAGGGTCTAGTTTCAGTCTTGTGCACTCAGATAACCAGTTTTCTTGGCACCACTCGTTGAATAGCCTGTCTTTCTTCTAACATATACTTTTGGCCCCTTTGTTGAAGATCAGGTAGCTGAATGTGTCGAGAGGATTCTATATCCTCAGTTCTGTTCCATTGGTCCATGTATATGTATTTATTCCAGAACCATGCCATTTTTATCACTATTGCTTTGTAGTATAGCTTGAAGTCAGGTATTGCTATGCTTCCTGTTTTGCTCTTATTGCTAAAAATTGCTTTTGCTATTCTGGCTCTGTCTTCTGGTTCCAAGTGAATGTTAGAATTTGTTTTTTGTAGACGGCAGCTAGGGGAATACCTGGTTTCTAGTGGAACAGAAGCAGTTCCTATACAAGACCCCTGCTGGCCTGCCAATCAAATAGTCAATTAAAATAGACATTTTCAGGCATGTATTCTTAAAAGTCTAAGAAACACGAGAACTGAGCTCTTCAGTTATTTAAAATTGTCAACTTTTTATCAGAAAGAGATGAGGACATCCCTAGATCCTGATTTGATGAAAGGAAATACTATAGTTTTTCCCAAGTCAGCTTTGCAATATGTAGATGGTATAGAGTTATATGCTCCCTCAAATGAGCTTTCTAGCCAAGACACCTGTGATCTGCTGAATTTTCTGACAGACAGAGGTTATAATGTTCATAGGTCTAAGGCACAACTTTGCAGCCTTGGGGTAAAATACGTAGGCCTTATTATTATCTAAGGGAACCCAAAGACTGGGGAAAGAAAAACTTAAACCAGTTCTTTCCTCTCCACAGCCCAAGATCCTAAAACCACTAAGGAGATTTCTAGAAATTACAGGCTTTTGTCACCTTTAGATAGGAGGATATAATGATATTGTGTGACCCATCTATCAGCCTATAGAAAAACCCAAAAGACAGCCATATTTTAACCTGGGAACCTAGTTCCTAGACTGCATTCCAGAAGCTCAAATGAGCACTTCTGAGTGCCTACCTACAGAACATCATTTCAGTTTATATGTAAATAAGAGGTAAGACATGGCTTTGGGAATGTTTCTACAAGACCAGGGAGCTGCGCAACAGCCTGTAGGGTATTCAAGTCATAAATTAGATATTATAGATTCAAAATAATTTATTTAAAAAAGAAAAGCCCTAAACAGTATTATAATACTGTTTAACTATAGTTAAAACACTTTCATTCTCCTTCAAGAAGCAAAAAGCAGCCATTCAGGTTCTTTGATTATTGGTTTAATTTTCTGCTTGTCAATGCAATTGCAGTCGGTTATAGCCTTTGTTTCTAGAGATATGTTTTGCTAAAGATTGCAGATCCATTCTGGAAAAACTCCTGATCTTAATTGTCCTTCTACACCTCAGATGGTTAAGATTTAGTTCTTAAAGGCACTCTTCTGTCTCTTCTCCACTGCCCTGCCCTGAGAAGTAACACAATTCTCAACAGTATCTAATTCAAGGCACTTCCCTCCTCTGTGGCTGCTGGATTTCAAGATAAAGCTTCCAGAATGGGGAGTTTTCCCTTTCCTAGAACCCTTCCAGAGTAAAACTGACCTTCAGTTATTTCTGAGCCATATAGAAAACTGGTGTAGGCTTAATCCCGGAATTCTTAAAGACTAAATATAAGTTTTAGTCCAGACTTACCTGTCTTTCAGCTCTCAGGTGAAATTAGAAAATAACAAAAACAGCTAACCTGACTGGCCATTTCCTTGTACCTCTAGTCTGCCACCACCAGCACTGGACAAGACAAAGTCTAAGAGACACCTTAGATTGGGCACAGAACAAGAGGGATGGATGAAGATGCCTTCTCTCCCTGTTTCTTTTCAAAATGGAAAAAATGGTTACCAGGTAGACATCTGCAGCACAGCAGGTTGGAGCCTTGGCAGGCCTTCTTCCCTCACTGCATGGAATTCATACTTGGTTCCAAAGAGTGTCACCTGGTCTCTTCTACATGTCAACCTGGCCTGAGTGGACCCCCCATTAGGGATAGTTAAAATTTTAACAGTCTGTCTCTTTAGAGGGAACAGTAACATGTGGCTATCAAACAATTGGCTATAAAAGCAACCACGAGAAACCTGTGTAGCTTTGTATTCCAGCCAGATAAACTTGTCACCTTAGGGCCCATTTTAAAACTGTGTTGGCATGCCACCTGCCTTGCAAGTGCAAGGGCCCAAGTTTGATACTGGGTACCAAAACAAACACAAACAAACCAAAACTGTTTTGGTTTTCACAGGCATAGAAGATTTTTATTCCTTTTGATGGTTCTTATATTAAGAGATCTCTGTTAACTGATCTACAAAGTTGCATCTAGTCAT